AATGCTATGTTAATTAACTATGCATGACTGCAATTATCACAAAGGTTCTTTCCACAAGGGATTTAATTTATTTCTTTTTTAGGTACAGTTTTAACCCTTGCAAGCAGGATATACTATTTAGGATACATCCAAACAACAATCTGTTTAGATTTACTCTGTATGCTCATCTAACCTACCATTTCACAGTATTTAATACAACCTCTGAATACCTTAATACAGTAAAACTGACTTTATAGCAATTCAACATCACAAGATGGAGGAAGAAACAAGAAAGCTTCATTACTAGCTGCATTTGCCCTACAATGAGAAGTTAACTAGAAAGTTAGTTTGTGCTGCAAGTTTAAGCCTACAGACACTAAAGTTAAAGTGTCTAAGCAATTTCTGGGAATGGGGGCTTAAGATTTTTTTAAATATTTTACCAAATAAAACTATCTTTGAAGATATATTTTTATCTGAACTTTATATAAAGAGAATGTAAATGTTATATAAAACCTCTATGTTATGGTGAAATGTTACAGAATAAGGATAGAGGTTTGTGTAAAAGTCTGCAGAAAATATGTTTATGGTGATAGCCTTTCTATATATTTGTCTGAATGTCACATGAAACGTCCTTAAATACTTTAAATATTTAGGTCATTCATTTTCATTCAATTAAATAGTTGTATAAAAAAAAATTGTTTTGTATTTCCTCTTTCAAAAAGAATATACAATGCTTTGTGGAGTCTTAGAAGACAGAACCACAGAATCCTGTTTTCCAAAGAAAGTAGCTGAACTTCAAGAAGGGTGAGTAATAAAAGCCTAGTATTTCTGCATTTGCTCTGATAGCCAAGCAAGACACATACACATAGACATTCTTTGTAAAAATCATAAGTATTCTACCCTGAAAATCAACCAGGAGACACAGTAACACAAAGTGTTCAGACTACTCTGTTCTCCATAAGATACCTTTCGCTGCTGTACTTTGCTGTCTCTGAGGACCATGTGCTCTCTCCTCTAGCCCCTCACCCCATCATTGATTTCTCTTTTTGCTCTCAGCATGCTGATTCTCTGTTGCCCTGAGTCTCTATGGTGTTCACAGAAGGCAGCAACTGATGTGAGACTTTTTTTTTTTAATAGTAAAATTTTCAAAATGATTTGTCAGCTCAATCACCAATTCTTCACAAACATTTCTTATCAAAAAGCAGAGCTGATTCTAGGTAGAGCATGTTGAGTGTAATCTATCAAATCTGGAAAGGATTTTTTTTTTTTTCCTATGCATAAGTTTAGAGGTTAATTTTAAAACTTTGAAAGTTCAATTGGGAGGTTTAATTCATATTCATTAATGTTTGTGAATAACAAAATAAAACTAAAATATCTGTAACTGTTAGATAAACAGAATTTTAAAATGAAAATTTTAAGGACTCTGATTCTACATCTCTAATTCTTAATTGGCATTTTTAATTGCCCATTGAAATAAGACTGAATAAGTTTAGAAATTGCACCAAGCTAAATGACAATGAAAAGAACTAAAAAATATAGTTGAGACTCCCAGAATATATTTAACAGGTTGTTCCTCCCTTTGTATGGGTGCTGCCTTTTAGTCATGTGAAAAAATTCTCATGTGTGCTATTGTCTATCATTACTTTTGATGTAAGAAACTGAGATTCATGGACTACCCTTTATGTTAGCTGTAATCTGAAATCAGGACTGCTGGGGAAAAACAGAAGAATGGTCTATCTCTTGGGTCCTGGTATGTAAAACACAAGATACGTCTGCTGCCAAATGTTGCAAAATATACATCTTTGTAGAGAGGAAACTGAGAGGACATGAGAGTAAATGATGGACAGGGAAGAGGCAATTAATCTATTGATCCTCTAGAAATAAACAGAAGTACAGCATTAAGAACTAGCTGGATGAAACACAGTTCAGATAAAGCGAAAAACAGGAAATTGAAGGAAAGAACTACCAAAAGCAAAAAAAGGTAACAAGCAATCCTGTGACTAAGATTCACCTACCATTTGTTCTGAGGTTCTGCTATCAGAGGGCAGCATTGCCTTCCAGTATGCCATTGCCCAGATTGATCTCTTTCATTACCACTTATCCAGGTAACTATGAAAGCTTTTCCTTGGATCCAGTCTTTGCTAGTTCAGCGTATGTCTTCGTAACCCCAAATTCCACATCAGTCTCTACAACATTATACACACAGCCACAGCCTACGTGGGAAAGATAAGATGGTGCAAAATAAAATAGTATGGAGGTAAGGTGTGACTCAAATTGAGATCCTAGAAGTTGCCAAAGGTTCGTGACACATAGTGGCCATCTGTTCATTTTCAGGTGTAGTACAAGTTGTTTTTCTGAGCTTTAAACAGTGACTTAAATGCACCAGACCTACTGGCTGGAGAGAGTCTTTCACGGTAAGATAAGCCACCATAGTCTCAATGCCTCAGTAAGCAAAGACTTGAAGCTAAGTATTTTTTATTATTATTATTATTTATTTTAGAGTAAGGCTGTTAACCTGTATCCCTTTGTGAACTTCTCAGGAATTCTTTACCCTTCAGGTCTGAAACAGAGCAAATATGTTCACTAGAGCATACTTTTAACACCTTTCCAAACAGCTCTCACAAAAAGCTTTTGCTATTCATTTTTCTTCAGTAAGGTCACTTGCTAGAAGTGATCAAACCTCAGTCACCTGTTTTACCTTTTATAGACACAGCTGAGGGGTGTACTTTCCCTACCTCATGCAACATTCCCACAGAGCAATGGACTTTTTCATGATGCATAACTGTGTGGAAAATAGCTTTCAAATTTCTCTTTGCATCTCCACCTGCCCTTATGCAGCTGGATATTTACAAGTGCTCTTCCAGTTCATGAATCACACATGGACTCTTGTACAATCCTGATGGACAAATTCTTGAGTTCCGTATCATTTGCAAGACTAAAGGTGTGCTCTTCAAAAATCACATCACTATGACAAAATCCTCTTACAGCGTACTCCCTCTTCCTAACAGGGACTTCATCTTCTTTTACACACCCATTCACTTTTTCTTTCTTCTGCTAATAAGGAAAATTGAAAACTACCATGTTAATTTCCCATCAAGGTACAGATTCATTCAAAAGCAAGTTACAACCACCTTTAAAAAAAAAATCCTCTATTTTATGTAAGTAGTGTTCTCTAATTATTTTACTCCCATGATTCAGGGTAATCGAATGCAACATTTCATTGAATATGTTTGTTCAGTAGCCAAAGAACACAAAACGAAATACAGTACAGACTCATTATGGAAAAACTGCTGCTGTTGAGAGTTTATAAATGCTCTGTTGCATTAATATAACTAACCCTAGAAATCTTTAATCCCTTGGTTTGTCCTCCATCTTTCACTACCAGTATGCAAGGCCACATTACTGTCCAGTGTCTTACACAGTACTGTAAAAGAGAGATGACAGGCAGACATGAGGGTACAGAGAGGGACCAACTTCATCATGAATGCAAGGTAGCTTCCAATAACAAAACTTTGTAGGAACACATAATCCTTCATTAGCATTTATACCCTCTGTTTCCTAATACAGTCAGTGAACACATGGTTTACAGGAGAATTACGCTTCACATACCTTCTCTTGTTTATTAAAATTCTGGCTGTGTCCCTTTACCTAGCATCTGTATGGCACAATGTTGTCTATATGTATTTCTAACCAAAAAATATTTTATATCAGGATAAATTTATTAAGGTCAGAAAATAAACCCATATACATAAAACAAACTTTCCAATCCTATGTGAAGTGCTCGGTGGTCATTTTTGCTAACCTTTAATTGAACTGTTATTTTAAATTTCCGAGTCAGAAATGCAGGGGAATCATGCCGATATTCCAAAAATGACTGATAATTTTTTCCTAAATGCTAGACTCTCAGAAAACAAATGTTTATTTATGAATTAATCCCTCATTGGTGAGATTTCACAAAACAGTTTGAAAGACAGATGAAAACAATAAAGAAGATAAGTTGGACCATTCCCTTGTATACAATTACATCAAAATATGACACATCAGAATTCCTATATATGGAAGGTCTCTAACAATGTGAGGATTTAGGATTGTATAAATCACAATGTTCTGTACTATAATCACATGACAGAATAGACCTGCAAAGCTTATTATACTGCATAACCAGATGGTAAACAACAGTTGTCGCTGTACTAAGAATTACATCTCTGTAATCAATAATAGGAAGGAGGAACAGTTGGACAACTTGTTTCCTATTATGTTCACTTAGGCAACGTCTAGATCAATAAAGAGCATTAAGCCTCATACCAACTGTAAACAATGCCTGCTCAACATGCCTATCATATGGTAGCGATGGGTCCAGCTGTACTTCAAAATACTGGTAAATGGATAACAATTCTAATCTAACATTAAAAAAAAGCAATGATTCAAATAGCAGGCAGGTGCGGGACTTCTTTAGCATATGAGAGAAGACAGACCTATGATGCCAGTTTTAGTATAAGTCAAAGTCAGCTTATTTTTTTAACCCATCCCATAATTACATTTCACTACAGCCTATCTGAAGGATGTTACATGTTTTATATGGAGGAAAGAAAAAAGCAACCAAGCATGGTATCACTAGCTTACATATAGACTCGGTAATTATGTGGGTATAGTAAGCTGTTCACAAAAATTGAAAACTGAATTTGTGTATCGCTCCAGGCCAAAATGGCAATTAATTACAAATAAGTTTTCACTTCATCCATTTTTTAACTATTTAAACAAACAATAAATCATCCCAATCAGCTACATTCTTGCCTTACTTAAAAATCACATAAATGTGAAAACTTTAACAAATAACTGTCTTAAGACAGCTAGCTTTACCTTCCTAGTTTTTAAATTTTCCTTATATTCCATACTTCCATAACGCATCAAATTGAAGCTGTCTCACAGCATGCTATTAACACAGATACAAGTCCCAGATTATTCTTAGACAGCCATTCAATTTCAAGATGACAAAACACAGGACAGACAGCTCTTCTTACCTATTCCGATAAAGACTGCTTCATAGCCATCTTCTTTCAAGGTACGGAGTGTCATTCCATGCATTGCAAGGCCTTTACTAAAAATTATCTGAAAGAATTAAAGGTTACTTGCTTTTAATGTGATAATGTGAAAATAATTTCTATCATGTCCTGCATACAGGCATCTTGCAGGATCTTCTAGTGAACAAACAAAGCAAATTAATTTTTTTTTCCCCCAAGCCAGGCTTAAAAGGCCAGACTGGCTCTGATTTAAGCAAGTGGCCCAAACTAGCTATGGGTAAAAGGTACCTTCAGATCATCCTCAGATGGGGGCCACTACAGGCTAGCTTGGTTTCTGCTGTAAGCTAAAAGAGTTAAATCAAGCTAAACAAACAAGAGAAGCCTGTCTACGGAACATGGTATTGAAGTAAAGCTGAAAATGGCAGTTTTCTACTGTGAGTAAATTGTTGTATTCAGTGCTGACTACAAAAGGTTCTATTCCCATGTGAATATCAGAATGTAAGAAACATGATGTGGAAGCAAGAACCTTCTTTAGGGAATATGCGCTAAACAGATCACCCAGCACACCAACCAAAAAACAAGCAGTTTAGGTTATTGCAGAAACATTAGTGAAACTATGAGCCTCTTACAGGGAAATAAAGAAAAGACATGATACTATTCTGCATTAACAGGGGTTCTGAACAGAAAACCAAGCAGTGTTTTCCTACACAGTATCAGGCAGTTGGTAGGCCTCCAAGTGTGCAGAATGCAATGTACTTTAGACTCTCTGAACTTGAATGTCTTCCACCAGTTTTTGTTATATCACTTGTGTATTCACTTTACAAAATGTCATGCTCTGTTGTGTAAGCACTATACTTTGTGATCTTAACAGTTTAGTCTTCATGTCATTGTATGTCTTGTTTGTTATTGAATCTGCCTATATTCCATTTAATATACTTTTCCTATTGGTGGAAAAAAAAGGCAGATGTAAAATACAGTGTAAAATACTTAAAGCACTGACTTTTTTTGCCTTTGGAGATTTAGTATAAATTTTATCAGAGGTGCAAAAGCCATGTACTGTTGTAATCCTTTCAAGAACACAGACTACATCCTCACTGGCAACAAAATACATTCTATAAATTGTCATTACATTTTTTTATCCTATTGTGTACATATGTTATGAAAACCTAATGAAGAAATTTAAATGGCAATACTATTTTATGTGGGGATTCATAATACTCCTAGGGCCTAGCTCTGTAATCCTTATTCAGCTGACTAATTCTTACTAATTTCAGTAGAATTACTTGAATAAACAGCACTACTGAGCATTTACACAATACAGCACCTTCCACCACAGATCTGAAATGCTTTAAGTAAACACCAGAAAGTATTTCCAGCTTATAGAGGTATAAAACTAAGGTACTTAGTTAACCAGCTTGCCAAAGGATCAACTGCAAACCAATGGCAGAGCTTGGAAGCAAATTTACATTGAGATTCTCTGCTGCACTTCAAAACAGCGGAGGACCTGCAGGTCAAGATGACATGGTGGCTCTATCAGTCCATTCTGGAGACCCTGTCATAACAGGGAGCTCTGAGGAACTGAGTTTTGCAGAGGGTTCCCAGGAGCCTATGACCAGCAATTTTGTCTAAAATTGCCTCAGTGCTCTGATTTTAGCCCCATTCCTAACTCAATCTCCATTCTGTCCATGTTTTCAAGGGTTGCAAAGGGATCTTTAGAGTAGAAAAATAGACCTGTAGCATTTAAAGCCTTATCTTACATCTTACCAGCATTTTTATAAAACCTGGACAGGATGAGGTTCTCACTTGGGTCTTGTGACAACAGTCTACTGCTTTTATGATATGAACCAACACGAAAGATTCCAAAAAGAATTTCTTGCTTCACTGAATGCTTTAGTATCGTGTTAAAAATATATTATCCCTCTTGGTACTCAAAAATTTGATACAGTGATGCATTCTGCATTCATAACTTCTATTAGAATGTGCAGCAGTTGTAAATACTACCTAAATCTTCAGCTCAAGCCCTAAATTAACAATAAAGAGATGTTCCCATTATCTATAAACAACACACATTTGTTTAACAGAATAATGCATAACTATTACTTTCCAAGAAGCTGAATGACTGTTATTGTTTATAATAGATGATCATGTTAATGCTTTAATTTGATGCATTTTATTATAAAATAAACTTGGATGCAAGACTGGATGATAAACCATTAAGAAAAAACTCAGGGAGAGGGAACAAAAGGAGAAATATCAAATATGAATGTTTTAAGTAGTGCTAAACTTGCATGAAAAAAACTCGATTAAAAAAATCAAATCATTCCAATAGCTACATTGAACCCCTAAAGCAATTTAGGAATTTGTTTCTTACAGACAATTAATCACATGCAGGCATGCCAGATGAGAACTATTGATTGCCCTTTTCCAAACTAGTGGCATTCAGACAGGAGACAGACAAATGCCCTGAGCAAGAGGAAGCATCTTCCTGCCTCTGTCTAGCGTAGCTTTTAATCGTTCTTTACTAATGTGCATGACATTTTGCTGTTAATCTTTGGCACAGTTCTTGTTCTTTTTTCTTTGAGCTATACATAGACAGGATACATTTTTCATTACCTTCACTCCAAGATCCTTCATAAGCTCAGCTTCAAAATTCACTACATCATACGGCAATCGGAACTGGGGGATTTCAGACGTACTAAAACACATAAAAATGCTTGTGAAATACTTCCAGCTATTAGGAAGAAAGGATTTTTTTATTTGTTAAAAATGCAATACTTATAACAAACCTTCATTAATTTTGACGTATGTGAATGGAAATGTGCTGAAGCTTGACCATTGGCTTTTTTAACTTGTTAGAGTGACAAAACAGCATTATTCAGCCAATGCTAAAAATATAGGCCAGAAAGGCAGTACCTTGAGACCAATCCTGCCCACACTTCTAGGTAACCATTTAACATATGTTAAGGTTGGGTCCAAAAGAACTTCATCTCTGTTCCTTTTGTGCACCAGAATATGTAACACTAAACAAAATTAAGACATCCATTTCAGAAAAGATCTCATGGGTATTAAAAGCAAAGTGATCTTCTAGCAATCATTCATTAAGCTATCCAATAAGAAAGAATCAGATTTCCTATACATTTTTTTAAAAGTGTTGCATATGCTATTTTGAGCAATGGTATTTAAAGCTGTACCCTCCTCCATTTCTACTTCATAAATTTTTTTATGATCTTTCAGGATGGACAAAGTTGGTAATTTTCTATCAGCTTTTGTATCTCAAGTCTGCTTTTTGACTTAATGTTTATTAGCTGGCATTTTTTCCTCCTGGGAAAAATTAGGAATGACATCTTCAAGTTCCCAGAATCACAGATCTCCTATATGGGAAAACTGAAGTGCCAGCACAGAATCTCAGTTTTTATCTACTGGTACAGATCTTTCTCTCCAATGAAATGACATCTACTTATGCCAGTTCAAAACCTCTGCCATAAAATGCATTACAGGAAACACAGTGAAGTTCTATTTTAGATATTTTTGTTCAATGAAGATAAAAAAACCTGAATATGCAGAAAAGTGAAAGTCTCTCCCCAGATATTTCTAACCTTCAGTCTAGTATGTTTTCAAATTAAACATAACAAAGCACTAGCAGAGATTCACTGTGGCTTTATTTTACATACTGTTAGTGACCACACCACCTTTAACATCTAACTTTGACAGCCCAGAAGGATTTTATTTATTTTAAGTTCCATCAACTTTAATTATATCAATAAGAAACTGGTGTTCCTCCTTATCATTTCTAATATTGCCCTTTTTTCACCTTTCCTGAACAGTGTGCAATGAAAAGTGTTCTAAATACCAGATATAATGAACACATCATGATAATACAACTTTCATAGATCATGCTAAGTAAAAAGGTGTCTGAGGCACAAACTAATGTATCAATATGATTCTGCAACAAAGATTCAATAAAGAAATCTAATAAAAAAAGGAAAATTCCATTTTCCAAGCCATCTATATATCTGTTGAAGGCCTGTAATTTCCATTACATGCTCCCAGAACAGCACTGGCTGTTATGTCACTGTCAGAATTTGTAAACAGTTTTTTTCTCTTATTAAACATTCACTTAGTTTTGTGCTGTGGAGTATACCCACATATATGTACATATAAGTTCATATGAAAATACACACAGTTCTGTGGGGACATATGCATGCATATGTATCATGAAAATAAGCATTTTATGAAAGTCAACTGGTACATCAATAATGCTGATACAGTTTCTTTCAGCAGCAGAAGACAGTCTGACTCTGCAATGGAGAGACAGAGCGGGAGAAGGAAACGGGGCAGAGGTGCAGGAGGGATGCAGTGGATGGGAATGGTGTCCCACAAATTCACCTCTTCCTCAAATCTGATCCAAGTTAGAGGTGCTTGGACAGGTGTTTGGTGTTTCCCAGTGATCTGAAATTACTTTTGCTCAAGGAACACCTCTTTGGCCTAGTGAGAGAAATATTTTGGTATATTGTAAACCGGTGGCATAGCTAGGAGCACAGGCAGTGAAGCTTGTTCACAGTCTCTAAACCAAAGCAAGATCTGCTCCTGCCTACTCTACTATAAAGCACAAATTTTACACAACTGGTGAAATGCAGGAAAACCTCCCCGTGAATGTGAAAGATTCAGCCATGTTCAAACAACCACAGACTTATGCTATGTCTAAATATCACACCACAGGAACTGCAATCACGAGACACCTTTCTGTTGTAGCAATATTATTAAAGTTAGCTATGATGTAACATGCATGTGAAGGAACATCCTAGTTAAAAACACTTAAAAAAAGGCAGAGCGAACTGAAAAAGGGCACAAGCACTGCCCTTCCAAACAGCTGATTCCAAATACAAAATTAATTTGGTCTTCTTAGCCATTTGCAATAGTTTATGCAGCCTTGAAAATACACCCATTAATAACCCAAACTTGTTAAAAGTTGTACTTCAAAGACTTACAAATGCAATAATAGATGATTGCTGCCACAGGCCAGCCTCCCTTCTGTTCCAGGATTAAAATAAGGACAAAAGGAACTGATGCCCTTAAACCTGATGTTAAACTTTCTACAATGAATGGAAGTAAAATTTGACCTTGATTGCTATGTGCTTTTTAGGACTCAAAAGAAAGAAATACATTTCAAAATGCACTGCTTGACCATTAAGAATACTAACGGAACAGGCAAAACTTACTGTAAGGCTTTTTGCAGTAGAAGAAACAACAGACTATGCTTTATTTTAAATTCAACTTAAAACATGAAGAACAGATGCAACTTAACATCACATTGCTTCAAATATGGAAGCACATGGTAAGTAACTGCAGCACTGTACTGTAAGCACTGTAAGCAACTGCAGAAAATACTGTATTATATTGCTAAGTCCAACCTGAGTCTAACCTGTCACCAAATAAAGCTTCATTGTTCGAAACATCTCATTATTTCTTACTACTTTACAGCAACAAAATTAATTTTAAATCTGGTATTTATGAAAACGTGCTACTCAACAGGTGAGTAAGTATTTCATATACTAAATTTGCAATCCTCTATGGCAACCAGTTCAAGTAAAACAGCTCCAGAGTTAAATGCCTATGTATCAACACCTTGATAATTAGAATCATAGAATCATAGAATCGTTTAGGTTGGAAAAGACCTTTAAGATCATCAAGTCCAACCATCAACCCAACACAACCATGCCCACTAAACCATGTCCTGAAAAGGTAGAATACTTCTGAACCTCACTGGGAAAAATGCAAGTAATCTGTTCAACTTCTCCAGCATTGATTCTCTGTCTTCCAGAGCACTGGATAAGTATTTCACATTATGACATTATGGATCAAATTCATTAATGGTTGTCTACTGATTTAAGTGATGCTGCAATGAGAAATACAAGTGCATCACCCTTCTTTCTCTCTCTGTTTCTTTTCACTTTTTATTTTGTAAACACTTTAGTGTGGTTACATCCTCAATATGTAAAATTTCTTTTTGATTTTGAATGGGTTGGTATCCACTAGTCAGTTTCTGAAATATTTTATCTTATACTTAGGGATTCCAACGAAGTTACAAGATACAATCTCAGCCATTGTTAGAGTGGTAAAAATTCATCTTCTAGTGTAGAGGACATGACACCATGCAAATATCTGCCAAGTGTTTACCATATGGGAAAACTGCAAAGGTACTGTCCTTTGAGTATCAGCAATTTGTTGAAGGTTTAGAATTGTAGGGGGTTTATTTCACTCTTATAGTATGGTTTACTAAAGCTGCAAGTCCAGGCATACATAATGGATTTTTTCACTGTCACCTTTATTTGCATAAGGTAGTTCATGAAAGCATTCTAAATTTAAAAATCTCCATTAAATTAGTATCTGTCTAAAACATTTTAAACATCTACTAATTCTTTCACTATGTAGGGCTACAAGTACTTATCTTGTTTTAAAAGTTTTGGATAAGGGAAAATGGTTCCTGACATAATTTTCTAAAGTGTTAATTTGATAATGTCCTGGTTTCGGCTGGGATAGAATTAATTCTCTTCCTAGTAGCTGGTATAGTGTTACGTTTTGGATTTAGTATGAGAATAATGTTGATAACACACTGATGTTTTCAGTTGTTGCTAAGTAGTCTTTAGACTAAGTCAAGGATTTTTCAGCTTCTCATGCCCAGCCAGCAAGAAGGCTGAAGGGGCACAAGAAGTTGGGAGGGGACACAGCCAGGGCACCTGACCCAAACTGGCCAATGGGGTATTCCATACCATGTGATGTCATGCTTAGTATATAAACTGGGGGGAGTTGGCCTGGGGGGTGGATCACGCCTCAGCAACTAACTAGGCATCAGTCGGCAAATGGTGAGGAATTGCATTGTGCATCACGTTTTGTATATTCCAATCCTTTTATTATTGTTATTGTTATTTTATTGTTGTTGTTATTATTATCATTATTAGTTTCTTCCTTTCTGTCCTGTTAAACTGTTCTTATCTCAACCCACAAGTTTTACTTTTTTTTCTTTCCCGATTCTCTCCCCCATCCCACTGGATGCAGGGGCAGTGAGTGAGTGGCTGCATCGTGCCTAGTTGCTGGCTGGGGTTAAACCATGACAGGTAACAATCGCACTGTCCTGGTTTCAGCTGGGATAGAGTTAACTGTCTTCCTAGTAGCTGGTACAGTGCTATGTTTTGAGTTCAGTATGAGAAGAATGTTGATAACACTGACGTTTTCAGTTGTTGCTAAGTAATGTTTAGACTAAAATCAAGGATGTTTCAGCTTCTGATGCCCAGCCAGCGAGAAAGCTGGAGGGGCACAAGAAGTTGGGAGGGGACACAGCCAGGGCACCTGACCCAAACTGGCCAACAGGGTATTCCATACCATGTGACGTCCCATTTAGTATAGGAACTGGAAAGTGGGGGCGGGGAATCGTCACTCCAGGACTAGCTGGGTGTTGGTCAGTGGGTGGTAAGCAATTGCACTGCGCATCATTTGTACATTCCAATCCTTTTATTACTACTGTTGTCATTTTATTAGTGTTACCATTATCATTATTAGTTTCTTCTTTTCTGTTCTATTAAACCGTTCTTATCTCAACCCATGAGTTTTACTTCTTTTCCTGATTTTCTCCCCCATCCCACTGGATGGGGGGGAGTGAGTGAGCTGCTGCATGGTGCTTAGCTGCTGGCTGGGGCTAAACTATGACACGCACCCTGGAATTTTAGAGGTCATATGAAAAGAATATAGAAGAGAGCCACCAGAGTTTCAGTTAAAGCTTGCCTGTAACTGTACCTATTTTTACTCGAATGATGAATTATTTAAATAAAAAATAAGTTTTCCAGATCTGAAATTTTCTACTCTCTTCCTTCAGTAAATCTAGAGGGATCATGTATAAACTATGTTTGCACAAAATTTTTTGCTATGCTTTCTACAGTCATTGGAAACAGTGCTTTGTTGTCATTGTTTTTTACCTTAAGCCACCAGCATACTCCTGCTTTTCAAATATGGTGATGTTTGAATAGCCCAATCGAGCCAAAAAGGAAGCACAACTTAAACTTGCAGGTCCTGCACCAAGAAGAGCTATCTTCACATGATAGGCTTCAGGCATATCTTCTAGAGGAGGTAAGGAAGGGTTTCTGATCTGAGGAATATTCATAGCTTTGAACACCTGAAAAGCAATACATTCAACAGGTTACTTACTTTACATTCCCTCCTCAAATTTTATTATGAATACCATGATGGAAGCTTCAGCTAGTACTGTCCCCATTCATTGATGTATTATTGCAGATCGCTTCATAACATTATAGGGATTCCCAAATGGCATGACGGGTGCATTTGTGAGGGATGTTGTGGATGCAGGATTTGGTCCTTCTATGGTTATTTTTGTCTTAAAAATGTCTGAAGTCAGATCTTTGACTACTGTAAATTTTACAGAGAAGATGGAACCAGACTATGAGTAACAGAATAGTATTACAACATCAGCGAGACGGCAGAGAATCTCTGTAATACCAAAAATTTCCTTCCAAAGAATGTTCAGATTATTCCTACTGCTAGAAGAGTATTTCTGCGAATAACACAAAGGATTTTAATGCCAGTGAAAGCAGCTTTGCTTCTTCAAGAGACATCTTGTGTAATCCTGGATAAATCACTTATGGCTTGACTTTTTAGAGGTGGTAGGTAACCAACCTTAGGTGGTTTTGAAACTTTTTTTAGGAACTGCCCCTAGTCTTCAGTGCTGTATTTCCAAAGGTAACCCATGCTTTAGGTACCTTCTCTTAGGTAATTCTAATAGGACTTATTTCTTGTTAGTTGCTGATCTATTTCAGATATTCTCCACTTTTTAATTAGGTGTCCAAAAGTTGTAGGCATATCTGAAAGTTAGACAGTTCTCCCTATGCCTCAATTCTTCACCTGTAAAATGGTGATGATCTACTCCATTCTGTTCTTCACTATTAAAAGTACTTTGGGACAGTCTCTGACCACTACTATGTATTTATACAGAACCCAGCACAATGGGCTCCTAACCTAGCTGTAATGTCACACAGTTTATTTCAGATTTGCATTAATTTGCTCAGGCATACAGGTAAGAGGCTAAGGCAGAAATAGTCCACATTCACTGAGCTAGACTTCACTGTCCTCTGCATTTACATACATTGTAGGGGAAGGAATGGAGTCTCTATCTTATATAACCTACAAAAGGAAAAAGGATGGACTTGCAGCCCTTGCAGGCTACTAAAGATTAGGAGTGTGGAAGAGCATAGTTCCATCTTCATTTTATTTTAGGCATTAGGGGGAAAATATTTAACCCAAGGAGTATATCTTTGTAGCAGAAGCACAGTATTATACCAAAAGGATACAAGAGCTCATTGTATTGGGATTCTCAGCCATATCACAAACACGACAAGACTGCACCTCAAAAACTACCGGAAGACAACATTGTTCCCCAGCTATTTCAATGCAGAACTGCGTCCGTAAGTATTAATTAGTCCTCTAAAATACATATGTTCTCATTTAATAAGTAGCTTATTTAACCTATTTAACAAGTTTACCAACAGTTTCTACTTTCCTTAGAACTCAAGAAGCAAAGGTTTTTCAAGTTAAACTTTGGCAATTCCACTGATGAATAGAATTTTTCATTTATATTTTGAATCAATGTTCATTTTCTTCATGTGCACTTGAGCACTCATGCCAGGTAAACCAATGATTAGTTCCTTCCCCCTCTAAAATTTCTGTGTCAAATTCTCCCAGTCTTTGTAAATTGACATAGCATTTTAACAAACTGCAAGAAGCAAGAGACAGATAATTGTTTTTAAAAAGGAATCATTTAAACCTGACAATTCATACAATATGGGAAGGTTTAATGTGGTTATTAATGGATTTCAAGGCTGAAAAGCTTATATTGTACTGTGAAACTAGACTGTGATAACCAAAATGCAAAAGGATATTTCTAAAATGTCTGCTTTGTTACATTCACACAGAAATGGCTTGAATGATACCAAATTTCCATTAAAGTCTCATGCAGTTGTTTTAGAAGGCTATTCAGCAATACAAACCATATAACTTGCATATTTAATGTGTATACTGAACACTATGAATATGCATATGCTTAATAAATTTATCACTAAATTTACTTTATTGTTAACACAATAATTTTTATATTTATTACTAAATAGTCATACCCATCAACTAAATGTTATACTGAAGTGCCACACTACTGTAGTGCAGTGTTAAGCTTCAGAAACCAAGCACTCATGCAGGAAATCCTAGTAGTTCAGGCTGAATGGTCAACTTTAATTCTGCCTATTTGCAAATAGGGTGAAACTGTCTTTATGCAGCACAGCCAGCTTGCGCAGTAATATCGTGCCATCTGGAATTCAGTGGCAGTTTTGCATATTAAGGCTGCCAGGGTAACTGTGTGAAAATAGCAAACTGCTTCAATGCATTTCAAAAGATTTTCACTCACCTCATGGTGAAGTTTCCCTACAGTGTAATTCACCTAATTAAATATCACTGAATTCTTCTGTACAAATCCTTTGGTGTGCAAAAATGACTACCTTGCAAGCAGTGTTCAATGCCACATTACACACAACTGTCCTCTCCAATATTAATCTGCTCAGACTGTGGTCAGGATGCAAGTAAAGTTTAATACTATTGCCTTTCTTGTCCACCTTCCCGTCTGCCTTTCCTTCTGGCTTTCTCTCATACACAAACAAAAGAGATTAGATAGATTATTAATAGACATTAATAACACTGGGCATTTATTCTTTAACGTTTTTATCAAATACTACGCAATCATCATTACTTCACCATCTAGGGCCTATTCAAACTAAACCCACACAGATTCCATCCACTTCTTATGCTCCATGTCCATTAGGGTCCATAGAAAGAATATCCCAGTTTACAAAAAAGATTATGGAGACTTTATCCTCTAGTGAGATACAATTTGACCAAACCGAAACAGCCAATCTATTCTGCCGAAGTTCCAACAATTGAAGAAAATTCTCTCTTGATTCAGACATTTATAACATATTACAGTTTCCCTGTTTGCATTGCTTCAACATGTAAAGGTGTGAGTTTGCTCAATGTTGTCCCCAGTGTGAAATCTGTGGGTTTGTTCTCTTCTCCCTTGTAAATCAAACATCCTTCACTGCATTGGGGTTGGTTCTTGTTCCAAAACATGCAGTATACTCGACAAAGAGCGTAACTGGAGGCACTGCATGCAAACACAAGTTTGTATTAAGGTTCCACAATATTTCCCACGTAAGCAAACTACAGTGGTTTTGATTGCTGAGCATCTGATTCAAGCTTAATTTTCCTAGAAAGTTTTAGCCAACTCATTTTACCTGTTTTTCAGAATGCAGACAGGGAAAAGTTTATTGTTCTCCTCGTGTAATAAAGTTCTGGTTCTTTTCTTCGCTACGTGACTCAGTATTAGCATGTTTTGATGAAAAGATGTGACGTTTGGCAGAGAGTGGCAGGTGACTCAGAGAAATGCATTTTGCTAACCTGATGAAAATCATTTTCTGGCATAGTAAGCATTATTTAAATGAATCTAAAACATTTAAAACCATTAGAGCAGGTTAGAACTGTTACTCAGAATCATTATCTCAATTTTTATATAAATTAGAATAAATTAAAGTAACTCACTTCTGTCACTTTTGAGTTTGCTGATCAGAATTTTTCTAAAAGGAATATACTATAGATATCCTTCACCTACTTGCAGAATTCAAATATGGTCAGACAGTTTTACCCTAATTCACCTTTATTGAAAATTACCCTTGGAATATGACAAAGAATGTGTTAAATAAAACAGTAAATAGATTGAAAGTTTAACCTCAATGTTAAAATGTAAAAAAGCCTTTGCCTAATCCTATGAAACAAGATAGGCTGCTAAAAAGCATATTTGGTAGTCTCCAAGACATACACAGAGGGTATGTGACAGCGACAGAGGGTCACATTTCTTAAGTAAAAAGTGCATGTTTAAAATGTCATCTTCATCACAAAACCTTCATCAACAGAAAAAGGTTGAAAAAAGAAAAAATGGGGAAAATGGAAGGAGCAGTGGGAAAATTTAATCTTTTAGTAACATAAGTTTTGACTTCATAACTAAATCCTTTATATTCTTGAGGCATAATGCTTGGTTCCATGCTGAAAAGGCTATAGCAAGAAGTTTATCAGTCAGGTTTGCCATTAAATATCCTTCCCTAAGATGATGAGAAACCAAACAGTTACTGATGCAGACATTAGCGTCTAGCTGGTATTTATTTTAGTGTGAAACACATTAGTACATACTGAATTGTTATACACAGAACTGCTAGTGCACAGAAAGAAAACCACAAGCAGTGAAATCAGCAACATTTAGGAACTATTGTATTAGTTTCACACTTTCCCACTGGTTTCCATAGATATTTATCTGTAGGCTGGTTTACATTAATATGGGACAGTTGAATATTTAAAGAAGAAAACAATATTCTGCACAGATTTTAATAAAAAAGAAACAAATTGCATGCTTAGTAATCTTCTTGAAGTTGTCAAATTACATGATCACACAGTTAATTTAATTTAATTGCTGTGGATAGCACAGGATGTACAGGAAGTGTTTTTCCACAAACGTGAGCTAGTTAGGAAAACTTGTTGATCCTCCCTCCACAAGATAACAGCTAAAGTTGTAATACTGCAGACTTTTATGCAAGTATGTGAGTGTTGCCAAAACTAGGGCCTAAAACATCTCATTAAAGACTTTTCAAATCTACTTAACAACTATACATTAATAATATCCCAGTCCCAAGAAAACCTAGGGGCATTGCAGAGTCTATACCTCAACATTTCATGAATCCCACCACTAAAAAGGACATAGCAACATTCATGTAAATGCCTTAAAAAAACAAAGAATGTTTAGCGTCTGTAACACATGCTGTAGAGAAATTTATATAACTTGTCCAAATATCAGCAAGTCTTTCAGCATTGGCCTGAGAAATCAGAAGTCCTCAGATTCATCCCCTGAACTCTTGTAGAAGGCTACACCATCCCCTTTAGACAAGACTAAAATTTTATAATTGATTATTTTAGATTTCAACAAGACTTAAAAGAGAAAATAACCTCTTTATTATTAAAATGTTAAAATATTATATTATTAAAGTGTTAAAATAAAAATTAATACTGACAAATAGTTTTATTTCTGTTTGTCCTGCTGTCTTAGCTCCCCAGAACAATCCTCCTCTGATGACGCAGCATGCCTATCCATGCCAGCGACGGTGAGGGGCCGAGGCAACCATCCCAAGGCCATCCAACTGCAGGAACTGCAGCTCCACAAGAACCACCTTCTCCCCCCACCTATGTTAAAACTGATCAGAGCTGCCAATGTGCAACCAAAAGAGGGACCCTGAGCCTGAGGGTGCAGCGCACCCCTCCATGGCAGTCCCTCTGGGCAGCTGTTGCTTCCTTGCCCGTGGTGCACTGGGGGAGAAGGGAGGTTCAGCACTCGGAGGAGGACCCTCACTACAGCCCACACCTCCCAGACAAGGCGCTCTGCTAAGATGCCCCTAGGTTAGCAGCAGGTAAGCTCATACAACGCATCTTTCAGGAAAAAAACATATCGAGTCTCCTTTCCCAATTTCTTTCTGCTGCAACAGCAGCCAGGATATATCTCCAGAGAGGAACAAATCACCAGAACTGTTGCTGGCACAAGAGTCACAGTACTAAATGATCTAGTATTTAAATCTAGTATGCAGCAATTAAAATAATACATTTTCTATTTAGCTTGTGCTGCTCCATTCAGAATGATTAACTAGAAACACAGGAGAACCTTTAGAATCAGTAATGTCTATCCAGAAATGTTAAGATTTTGAGGGCTTCTTACTAACACTACAACAGACAATGTAATCAATCACACTTCCTTTTTACTACAAGCTTCCAAACTTGTACTTGAATAACCAGTAATTTTAGTTTATTTTGTGGGACTGACAGTCATATAGCTCATGCCTATATGTATTGTCAGTGCAATCTCAGTATATTTTCCCTGAACTTGTGTTCCAAAACCAGAGATGTTTTCTGATTCTAAAGTACTTGGGCAAAGGAGACAGATAAAGACATTAATATAATTTTGACCTGTGCAGTAGCAGGTGTAACCTGCGCTTGACACTCATCATTTATAATAGTGAGCTTTTACTCCATGTTATTCTCTAGATGCAACAGTTACCGTGGTAACTGCATCCCAGTATACACATTCTACACCACAAATACAAATGGACATTTCCTTTTTTTCCACTTGAACATTTAATTGTCAAAACCCACATTTTTTTCAGACTGGATTACAATTTACTTTAAGAATGAGCCAAACATATTTACAAAACTATATGGAAGGGTAGAAGGAAAATGCAGGAGGTGTGAGGTGCTATTTTTTTGTTCTACCGTATGCAAGACAAATATTTTACAATTAGGGAGTTTTATCTGCAGTATGAACAGATGATCAGTCATTGTTCAGAAGCACAAAGGGGCATACATCATACCCATATATTTTCCATTTTAAATCCACATTCCTGCTTTACTGCAATTTTATCTTTTATCTCAGCTAGCAGTTGTGCCTTTTTATTATCGCTCGCTCTTGTAATGCATCAAGTGTATGATCCTCAGACTAATTCCAAGGAAAAAAAGTCTAAAACTGGCTTTATGCACAATGGAGTTTTCAGTAAATAAGCCCCTGTGGGACAAACTATTACACAGTGCATGAGAATTACCATGCAGCTCTCATTAAGAGTAACACATGTTGCACACCTAAATTACACAATTTGCTAAGTTACTCATATAGGTAAAGCTGTGAATACACTTTGCTTGCAGTATCTGGGCCAATTTTTGTATGAGCAGTAGTACCTTATGATTTTCTTCAGTATTTTAATCTATATTTTTGTAACGATTGTTACTTGGAAGCACTCATAGCAGTATATTTTTTTCAACTATACATACTTTCACACTAAAATTTAACTGAATGAAAGCTAAAAAAAAGTTAATTACAAAAAAGTAACTACCTATTATTTCTAATTATGAGTACTACAATACATACAAATTCTTCATTAAACAGCAGTAAATCTAAACACTATTAACAACTAATTTTAACATTTTTAGGATACTATAAAAATATTAAGATAATAAAGTTTACTGAAATGTTATTTTTGTTAAAGTACTAAATAGAACTGTATAACAATTTTATTTTGTTAGAACTCTTGACACTAATACCACTTTAAACAAACTTGAAACATTAGGAGCAAAGCCATTCAAAGCTATTCATCCTCTCTGCAGTTTTCATATCAATCATTGTGCTAGCACTGAGCTTTTTTTAATAGATTTCTAAAGATTTTTGAAGAAAAATGGCAGATATTTAGCATTATCTATCAAGTCATAATTCCCCTCTATTAATCATAGCATTAGGACTAAAAAGAGACACAAATCAAGTTTTAACAGATATTACTTGCATTTGGTTCCTAAACAGTAATATTTCATCATTGTATTTATCATCTGCTTGACAACTGTTTAATCTTTCTTTTTTCTTTTGGTTTTTTTTTTGTGTTCATTTTAGGTTTTTTGTTGAGGTTTTTTGTTTTGTTTTTTTTTTAGAAAAAAATAAGTCTTCTGCTTTGCAACAAATACTAAGTTTTTACATATATGGAATAAAGACCATTAGAAGAGAAGCTAATAAAATTGCCTTTTGACTGATAAAACCTAACTATTGAATATACACACAGAACAAATACAGTTCAGCGTTTCTAGCCTCATCCTGTAAATGAGAACTTTGGTCCAAACTGTACTGATTATTATGCTTATATGTTCAAATCTCAAGAAAATCGAAGTGGATAGCTGCTTAAATGACAGAGGGGAGAGAAGGTTCAGCAACAGCTAGCAGAAAAGTTTAGCAAATGCTCCAGAAGTTTTACAAATCTCCTGGAGAGAGGAAAGGAGGGATGCAAACAGATAAAAGAACTGCAGCAGGTAGCAACATTTGCGCATCAAATCATGACCGACAGCCATTGAGAAGGGGGTGTGAAGTCTATGAATGACAGCAGAGGAAAAAAATTGGCCTTACAGACATATCATCTGTTACTTCCAGATAGATTTGCATTTCTACTTTGATCCTTCCTACAAAGTTTTTTTTCTCAGGCTTTGTAAAGGTGACTGGAATTTCATCGTATGTTTGTAAATATGATCAGCCAAATCGCTCAAGATACAGAAGAGGGACATGCTTGTTAGTTAAGGACTGTATAGAAACATGCAATCTTAACACATGCATATGCCTTTTTTTATACAGCCACAACTTCCTCACTTCTACAGAGACAAAAATCACAATTTTTACCCAAATATACTTCAGATAGATCAGATGAGGTGCCAGCTGAGACCATGAGTTTGGTACAAATTCTGCATGCCCTCAAAGGAAGTTAACAAATGAGTAGTAGCCTCCATCTTTCTTCAGATGGAATTTGGAGCATTGAAACCATACGGTCACAAATAATGCACATGCACCTCAACAGAAACCCTTTAGAAGACTTCGTAACATCAAGTGGCAAGTAACAACCTTTGCTTCAGTCACCAAAATATACACATACCTTTATGAACTAATAAATGTACACATACACACATGTGTGTGCATCTGTATTTATCTAGATAGATGCACACAGACATATATTTCAGGTCAGCCTGAAACTACTTGTTTACTTAGTTTTGGCAAAAAAGGACAGTAAAAAGTCTAAATCATCTGAAACTTTTCCTTTGCCTCAACGCCAGTACCAATGTACACTAATTCTGCTATAGGACCTACCCTATGCCCGGAACAGTTCTACATCTCCTTAACATGCAGTTACAGATGCAGGTGCACTTGATTGTTTTCCCTACACAGCCTCCTTCAGTAACATCCACAATTTCACCTGGCTTAGATAAAGCTTTCATTATAAAAAAAATTGTCTCAACTACTACTGTTTCTAAAGAGTCATCCTGTTCACAGATAATGTTCCTTATATGCCTACAAAGTATTGCATTATGAAAGCATTTCTAAGCTTCTGAACAAGCTGTAAGAAAAAGGATAATTATTCTAACTTTCTACACCTTTATTTTATTAGTACCAACTTTTTTTCATACAAGTCATTAACAAAGGCAAGCATTTAGACAATACTTATTGGTACAGACAAAGAATTTAAGACATTTGCAAGTCCTACCTACCTCAGTAGCAAACTGCTGCAATCCACCAATATTAATTGGTCCCTCCTCAGTGGCATACAAATTGCAGCCACCAACACAGAGTTCTGATGTTGGACACACCATTCCACATGTCAGGCCAAGTGGATTGTCTGAAAGAATCATTTTGGCAGCTCCATAGTAGTTCTGAAGGAAAAAGGGAAAAAAAAGGGGTGGAGGGAAAAAAAAAAAAAAAAGAAGAAAAAATAAGAGAGAGTCACATAACAAGGAAGCAAAAATTCAACAGAAAATACCAAATACTTTTTCTATAACTGGCTAGTAGAATAATATAGAAATATAAATATATTAACTAACACTGACATTATTTAAATGTACAACATGTTATACAGCATTATGTTAAGGACACTGGAAAGAAAGTCTGCCAAACCCTTGATTATGTGAAGATAAAACTTAACTTTTTAGTTTGCAAAATAGTTAAAAGCATCTTCAGTCTGGATCTTCAGTAGGATTTTCAGTGGCTTAACAAATCTACATTCGAAAACTACTGTGCCTGCATTATGTATTTGTTAATACTTTCTCCATTTCTAGGTCAATTGGGCAGTAGTTGAGTTGTAAACCTTGTTGGAGGTCTGACCAGAAAGGGCCATTTAGATTATCAGTTCTTTATGACACAGGGAATGAAAAGCTTATTTTACGCATCCGTGCACACCATCTCTGTGGATATGCCTGTCCTTCACACCAGATCAGTAGGGCCAATTGTCCCAGACCCATGATGAGAAGAGGAGAAGTCTTCCTATGTAGCTACCCGTAGATACTGCATTACTGAATTCTTTTTGGAACTCTTTTTCCTCAACCACATGCTGATCAGGGCAAACACTTATTCTTCTGTTTCCCTAAATAATAAACCAAGGAACTGATTAAAGAAGTTATGTACAATTTACAACTTCTCAATATTCAGTGCACATCTTCAGGAAAGGAACCATTCCCTGATATATGAGAGCTAGCAAGATTTCTTTCCATTATAAAAATCTAAGGAATGGACATTAGCCAGCTCCCCATGCCTGATGCCATGAGAAAACAACCCCTGGTTGTTTTTCAGACTGGTAATTCTCTTAAGAGGGAGCATGAGAGGAAATGCCAGCAGTAAACCGAAGTCTCATTTAGAGGGGGAGAACTACTGATTGCAGTTCCAAATTTACATTACATTTACATTAATGAAATTATGGTGTAATTAAAGCAAACAATTTACATCCTATCTTTTCTTCTGTATAGTCAACATAGAAGTTTACTAAACTGTATACTCTAGTCCTTTCTTCATTTTACCACTCGTCCCACCCACTTTAAAAGCCCCACCGAGGGTTGTCCATGAAGATGGGTTAATGCTAGTTTGCTTTAAGGACCAGAAGACAATACCCCTTAGAATTAGCACACGGCTGAAGTTCCACAAAAGTTTCTTCAGCTTTCTCCAAACTAGCAATAACTGAGAGATTAAAAAACAGTATGTCTCATTCCTCTTCCACCACCTCTTCCATATTCCCATCTTCAGTAATCATCACTAACATGAAACTGTTTTTTATAACAAATATCTTTACCTCTCTGTCCCAGGGCAGCTGACTCAGAACAGCCAGAAGATGTAGCGTTCAAATGACGTGAAGTACTTGGTCACAGCAGACCCTATGCAATGCCTGTGACTTACTGCCTGTCAAGTAGGCTAATGTATGCAGAAGCGTTCATTCAAAGTGAATGCTATGCAAGAGCAAGAATCCAGTTATGAATAAAAAGAGCAGTGTCAAGATCTGACAATATAACCAACAGTGGGTAACAAGACTGATTTGGGAGGTTCAAATTCACTAAAGGCATATCAAAAGACTGAGCATAAAATTCTTAAAGTTAAAACTGATGCAATAGACACAGCTAGAGATTCTCAAGAGAATGCCAATGTTTAAGAAATGTATTTGTAGATGTAACTGGACCTTTTGCTTACAGATGCTGGTCTACTGCACAGCACGAGCCCCTGTCCATCACCTTAGAAACACAAACCAGCTACCCCGGTGTATTTTCATAGGGTTTTTTAGACACTATTAAAATCCCTTGAAATTCTAACCCTGGTTGAATAGGCAATCCCTTTACGCATCTCTTCTGGGAGAACTTTCAACCATTTTGCCTGTGGTGACCGGTAAGGCACTTTATCACCCCAGATTCTCATTTATTCCAATGTAAAGGAGTATTAGCTAAACAGAAATTGTATGTATTAGCAAACATTTTTGCTCTTCCAGATGAATGATACTGGTTTGATATGCCAGATTGTTACAGCTGCTAAAAACAGCCAGTGAAGACATTGTAAGCTCAATGCAGCAGCAAAACACAGAAGTCTAGTTATACTGGAGATGTCCCTGAAACATAACCATGCAGACAGCAGAGGTGACAGTCAATGCAGGAGACCCACGTCTTTCTGAAGCAGCACTCAGAGACCAGCCTAGATACCTTACAGCATCTTAAGTGGCACTAGATGTCTGTTCCCCAGGCAATTACATCTAGTCATTCCTTTTTTCCACTCTAAAGGAATAATTACAAACTAGTAGTGGGGATTTTTCTCACTAACTCAAAGACAAAATGGTTTTCAAAGGATTTTTGCTCAGTTTGATATTTCACTACATATGAGAGTTATATTTTCCCTTCCTGTGTTGTCCAGGATTATTATTTTTATTATCTTCAACTCTGGTTCAATGGAAACAATTACAACAACATGCATTTCCACCTAAGTAACTTCATTAAGGATTTTCTACATTTTTAGGCTATGTAATTAAAATCAATATATAAAGCTAGTTATGCCAAGAATGCAAAACTGTTAAATATTCCTTTTTAAAATTTATTTTATTACATATCTGTAAAACATATTCTCACACTTGAGCTGTGCCACTACAGGCAGCATCAACACAGCTGGCACATTCTAATTGTTTTGCAAGCTCAAACCCAATTTTCAGCACAGCTATGCTACAGAAAGACAGGGTATATTAAAGGAGCAAGTGACTTCAGAGAGATGGGATCAGGGTCATTGTGGGTGTAGGACTGAGATCACGGCTTATCGAGGGGATATCTAGGGAAACCTGTCTCAGAACATCATGCCGGAGTTCAGTAAGGAGGAGGCTAATGGGGGTAAGGCTAACTGCTGCTGCTGAACTCTGAATTTGGGGGAAACATGATGGAGTATATAAAGGTGGGGTCCAGATTTGGGAAGTTTTGAGATGTTGCTGTCATGATCCTGGTTGTTACTGCTACCACTAGTTTAAAAAAAAAAAAAAGGAACCGTGTCCTCTTCACATGAGAGTACCAAAAGCTATATATAGTACATTACCATGCTAAAATATTAAGACATTAGATAAACTGTATCAAAGAGTATATATCTTCTAGTCTTAACACGTGAAACGAGTTTTAATGATAAATTAAAAGACAGTCACACCTGAAGTCCAAAGTGTTCCACTCATCTTTGGGAGCAGCAGGGCAAGTCTTCTGCACTGCTTCACTAGTGTGCTCCAGCTGTGCTAAAGTGGACTACTCTAAAGATGAAAGGGAAGTACATGTTCAGTGCTGACTTGGTTTCCCTGTCTGCCAACAAAAAGTCACCCTGTGTCAATTTTACCATTGGTAAACTTCTAACATACTTACAGAAGAGCTGCAGTTCCCTAGCTCTCCTCTTCCACCTTCAAGAACACCAGTGTAACTAACCACTGTTCACATTGCCATTGATACTGACCACTACCAGTAAAAGGATATGGCCACATGCTGCTACCATGACTCTGTGCAGTGGCTCAAGAGCAAGCCCATCTGCAACATTCCTGATACCCAAGGCGCAGTCCAGCATGGAGACTGGGCTGTGAGCAGGACTTCAGGAGCCCAGCTCTGACTTGCTTCATCTCTTCGTCCTTCCATTCTATTTAATCATTTATCCTGCCTTTACTGTGTTGATTTATTATCTAACATATCAAAAATTATTAAAAAAATGTTTTCCAATACTTGACAAAAAATGGCAGGGAAATACAGTATAGTCTAGTAAATTACACTAAGTGGTGTTATACAAACTGCGTTACAAAACTGCAAACCGTTGTGTTACTACAGTAATAAATGAGAGTTTGTAGTATAGGTACAGTAGTATATGTACAGTATCTTAAATGTTTAGTTACATGAACACTTTGTGATTTCATAACTTTTTTTTAAGCTGAAAACATGTATTAATGATCATTACATTTACCAGTGACATTAAAGGTAGAATATTCATAGCATATTCACATTTTAGAAAAAATTATTGATCACTTTTATTTCACAAAACCAGGCTGTAGCAGACTGCACACAAAACAGACATGAGATGCAGACCCGGCAAGTTGGTAACTACACAACTAGATGTTATATGGGAGAAAGGATCAGAATTAAAGGGAGGCTGGCTTCATTAAATTGACAAAGTTACTCCAGGGCATGGAATGCAGGAAGCTACCTTAGCAGTTCGGAGTAATTTTTTTAGATGCTAAAATAATGAGATGACTCAGTTGGCTAGTTTCTTACAGACGTCGTAGAGGAAGCAAGTCTAAAACTAGAATGTTTCTGAATTTTTTAATGAGATAAATGCCTGCTCATGCCTTTGTTCATAGAATCTTTTTTCCTGTGCACTTCCATAGAAATAAATTAATCTAACTGCATAGGATGTTTTGTGGTTTCCTACATCAAAATGTCAATAAATACTACATTGCTAACACAGGGAACAAAACCAAGCCTTAAACAGACATCAATAATCAGTGGAAACCAGGCAGAGGAGGATCTCCACATGTATCATTTGGAAGCATTATATAATTTGCATGCAAATGAGACTGGTTTTTACTTGAAAAAAAAAACTATTAAAACACATAGGATCAATACTGAGAGACGAGAAGAAATTGCATTTACTATCAGGAAATGCTTATAGCATCTTTTCTTTCAATTCAATTCAAGAGCTTTCTATAAAAATTCATTATGCATCAGGGTGTTTTGATATCGCCATTTTCTCAAAAACAATGAAGAATATGCATTATTATGTTTTGTGTAATAAAAATGAACACACTGCCTTCATCAGGATTTGGGGGCAGAGTGAATACTTTAAAAGAAGAAAAAAGTGGTAATTTCCTTTTCATCTGGGTTTAGTTTAAAAAAAAGAGAGA